ACAGTGACCTCCCTCAGCCTCTCCCAGGCACACGGTTTTACCCCTTCTCCTAAAGCAGGTTTGCATGCCGTCTAAAGCAACTTAAATAGTTGCTTTTACTTCTCTTTAGTTAAAGATTACAACCTTAAAAATATCCAGTAAAATATGGTACTTCCATAAAGCATTCCCTAGCAAGATTAGTGCTTCTCAGTGGACACAGCAGCAGGGAACTTTGTGCATTCATGCTGAGCTGGTGGCTGTGTGATGCTGTTGAAGAGGGAATACACCACCATCAGCACTCAGTAAATCGTCTTCTCCCTGAAATTGAGAAAGCCACAGGCTGGGCGCGGTGGGTGACACCTTGTAATTCCCAGCACTTTGGGGAGGCCAAGGTGGGCAGATCACCTGAGGTTCAGGAGTTCGAGACCAGCCTGGGCCAACATGGCGAAACCCCATCTCTACTAAAAAATACAAAAAATTTAGCTGGACATGGTGGCGTTGTGCCTGTAATCTCAGCTATTCAGGAGCTGAGGCAGGAGATCACTTGAACCCGGGAGACAGGGTGCAGTGACCAAAAGATGTGGCCATTGCATCCAGCCTGGGTGACCAGAGTGGGAAAAAAAAAGTCACAATCACAACTTTAGAATTCTCTGTTTAAATAAATATGTTTAACCTACAGAATTGATGTGAGGAAATGTTTGGGGTAATTTTTGTAGCTCTCCTGTGTGAATGAGCTAGCCTAAAACAATAATGATAATATAATAGTAATAATTTTTGAATGTCAAGTGGAAAAATTAAAAATCATAATTCCTTATAATTATTGGAGAGTAAATGAAAATTTTTCAAAGATACTTTCTATTAACATAAAATAGAGGTTTTTCTTCAGTCTTATTTGGTTTCATATTGATAGAATGCTTAAATAATAGATTAAATTTTATATCCATAATTTCATAAAGAGTGTTGTGCTTTTTCCTTTCAACAATTATGTCATATTTAAATCAGTTTGCTTTGTACCATAATCCATGGGTGAGGCAAAGAATTCTGGTAAGACTCTGTTACCAACTTAAAGAGAACACCCAACAATTAAGAAAATTCTGTACTGGAATTTTACTTTCAAAATTTCAAATAAGGGAAGGGGGCGAGGGCTGGAAAACAAACAATTGGGTACTATGCTCAATACCAGGGTGATGGGACCCACTGTACCCCAAACCTCAGCATCACTCAATGTACCCATGTAACAAACCTGCACATGTACCCCTTAATCTAAAATAAATGTTGAAAAAAAAGAAGAAAAGGAAAAGCAAGTGACAGGAAAATTTGAAAAAAAAAATTAGAATAGACTTATTCCTTAATAATAATTCAAAATAAGCCTTTAGATTCTTTTAGGATAACTGTAATTGAGAATTCTATAGGAAGAGTAATTTTCAGGCACAGAAAGGGTGATGAGCAGTGACACTCTGTTCCATAAACTGTTACATTCTTTATAAAGGATTATTTATCAACATGTCAACATGTATATTATTTCATCTATCTCTCTATTCTTTTTTTTTTCTTTCTTTCTTTTTTTTTTTGAGATAGGATCTCACTCTGTTGCCCAGGCTGGAGTGCAGTGGTGCAACCATGGCTCACTGCAGCCTTGACCTCCCGGGCTCAAGTGATCCACCCGCCTCGGCCTCCCAAGTAGCTGGGACTGTAGGTGTGCACCACCACACCCAGCTCATTTTTTATTTTTTTTAGAGACAGGGCCTTGCCATGTTGCCCAGGCCAGTCTTGAACCCCTGGACTCAAGTGATCCTCCTGCCTTGGCCTCCCAAAATTTCAGGATTATAGGCATCAGCCACCATGCCTGGTTCATCTCTTTATTTCCACATCAGTTGCTTCTGCTATTTCCTCCCCTTCCTCTTCTCCTCCCAATACTCCCTTTTTTCTTTTTGTTGCTAATTATCTATGACCTTACCATGAAGTTTCTGGTTTAGTTATCCAAGGTACGTTGTTCCTTGCTGAGTTTTTTTTAACTATCCTATTTGCCATAGTTTTTCCTGACTGTATGACTACAGTGTAATGAATGTAGAGAAAAATGGCAAAAATGCCACCACTGACCCCTCTAGTACCCAGGGTTGATGTACCTTGTGTTTATGTGTCTTTATTAATTTGGCATATAATTCTTCATTTTCACTTTAAGTGTGCTTGTATTTTACAAATTAGTCTAAGTCCACCTGGTTTGAACACAGGATACTAACTCCACGCACCCATTTTAGAAGGAGATCTCTAGCTTTTAGAAGAGATTATCTCATGATTTCCTATGTTCATTCAGCAAACATTTCCTGCAGACCTACTGTGCACCAGGTAGTGTCCAGAACTAAAGATATAAAGACAAACTCAGAGTCCCTGCTCCTAGGTGGGGGTGTGGTGTATCACAGTCTTGAACCCACCTCCCCAAGATCCCGTAGCTCCATCACCAAACAGTTGTCTATCCAGGAGCAAGCTACTCGTCTAGCCCTATTTCCTTAGCTTTCAAATAAGACCATTTCTCTTGGTTCTCTTGAATGTCCCATTTTTCTGTAGAGTCAGTCTGTGATTATTGCGAATTTTTCTTGGAATTGCATGAGCATTGCTTGAGCTCACCGACTACATACTGTGGTTAAAATTAAATAGGGGGCAATCTAATAGGCAAAGCTTAACTTAATAGCTTCTACCTCAGATTAAAATTTTGAATCTCTAGTAATATCTGCCCTTTCTTTTCCCACAGTTTCACTCACATGTTGTTCATAAATCTTAAGTACGGGTTTTTGGCTCTCTGTTAGGTGAAATACTTCATTTAACTTAGCCAAAGCCAGACTTGGAGCAGCCTGGAAACACTCAAGTGTCCCTTCTTCCCAGTACACGAGGGCCTCTGTAGGTTTTTCTCTGTGTGTGTGTCTGTAGGGAGAAGAAGTTGTATTTGACTCCTCCGATGATGGTTAGGTTGCAGCACTGTCTCCTTAGTCGGAGCAGATGCTGGGATGCCATGGCTTTGCCTTGGTCATCTACATCACGCACGTCCCATCACTGGGCTCCAGTCTGTTGCAGCGCCTCCAGGCTTAATTTCTGTTCGTAATCTGATTATGGGGTCTGAGCTGTTTCAGCCAGCGGACTCTTGCTTCTCGTGTACCAGAGGCTCAAAGACACAAGTGCCTGGTCGCTCTAGTCCTGCACTGTGAAAAATCTCAACCCAGTTTTGCTTAGACCAGACGAAGGTCGTTGCTGGCTGAGAATTAGCTGTAGAGCAGGCTGTGTGACTGAGCCTTCTGTGTGCAGCCATGTTCAGAAGCCCAGGTTTTTCCAGCTATTTGGGAGCTTTCAAATTCTCTGAGAAACAAGGTAAGGCAAGATAAACATGAAATGCTCTTATGTATGGATTTTATAACATAATGAATGCTTGGGGTCCTCTATTTTGCCCTATGTATTCTCCTGTGTTCAGTTACTTATACACATTTCTCAAAAGACACTTTAAATAGCTAATTGAGTTTATAACTGAGCTTATCTTGTGACTGTTGATAATGTGAATTTTTTTTCCCTTAGTAAGTTAAAGTTATTACTAAACCACTGAAACCTTTATGTAGGAAAAATTGCAAATGCAATCAGAATGCCCACACTTTGGATCAAATTCTAGACGTGCTGCACTTTAGTTAAAATATTTTTCTAAATCAAATGCTATACATACTAAATTCTTTCCAGTAGGCAGTGGTGCGTAGTGTCTTTTTATTAACTCTTCATGTGAGACAGTTTGGAACCAGATACTGTCTTTTCAGTGGCTTTCTTCCAGCCCGGAGGAAAATACATGCTCTCAATTTAACTACTGAAGTGGTGTGGCATGTTCAGTTTACTGATTGAACAAAAATGAAACGCTAAGGTTGTTTTGAGTATCATATTTGAAACTCAGCCATGATACATCAAAACTGTTTTCCAACTCAAATGCACTATTGGGAAGTGACTTGAACAATTCAGACCTCAGATTCAGGAATTTTCTCCTACAGCACTTGATAGTTTTGTGAATTGATTTCTCTTCTGTTAATTACATAACAAGAAACTTGTATAGTTAGGAGAAAAGCTTAGATGTTTTGCTGCCATTATATCTTTCATTTTATTGTATTTCTTTAGTTGGCCACAGTTCCAAATTCCAGGACTGAGGATGTATTTTGATGGATAATGAAGTGTCAGCATCTGATATATTTTGTACTTATTTTTCCTCAGGCTTCTGCCCCTAAATATTAAAGAGCAAAAGGCACTTCCTTAGGGGAAGAAGTTTCTGTAAATGGTCTATTTGTGGTTTTCTTAGTGAACAAATGCTGTAAGCCAAAGGCTGTAAAACAGATTACATGCCATTAGACTGGTTGTAAGTTTTATCTGTGCCTGGTTTTGATTAACCTGTTCATTTGGGATGTGTTTTTCCTGTATAGAATTGTTACCAGCTGTCTTTGCATAATACATATCTTGTCTTCAAAACACAAATAAATGGTTATTTTTATTAGTTGTTATTGTTTAGATTTTAATGAGAGCAAAAGACACAGCTGAGTTGTCCTTTGCTCTTCAGACCCCACCCCCATGCTTTAAAGGCATCGCAAACATTTCTCGTTACCTGGACCAAAATTGCTTTTTTTCTTCTCTATTCCTGAGTATATAGCTGTGTTATTTAGTATTTAATTGCTTTGAGTTATTCTTGCTGCCATAACAAATTTAAATGGTAACATTGAACTAACTATGTTAGAAGTATTATTGTTATTATTGTTGTTATTATTTTCATTTACCCATGGAGTATGTTGGCTGCTTTCTGAAAGAGAAAAGCAAAACTCACCTATGTACATTTCCATGTGGAATTTGATTCTTAGAAGGTGTCATTTTTGCATTTCTATTTTTTGTTTGGTTAACGGTTTTCTTTTTCTTAAATTATATGTTCAAAAGGAGTTTGGAGAGTTTTTTCTCATTGGATTTTTAACAATTTGCATAACTATTTCAATGTTACATTATTTCTTTTCCCTTAGACTTCAACAAGAAAAACTTAAGCTTCGTTGGATTCCCACGTCAAAGGAAAGTTTCAAGGTAAAGTAGCCTTGTCTCAACGACTGTGAAATTTTGAAGATTTGTTGTAGCTTTTAAAATTATTCTCTTGAATGTCTAACTCATGAGTTTAAATGTTTGGCAATATGTTTTCTATTGATTTATTAAAATTTATGAAGCAAAGGAATCTTTGTATTTAATTCTGTTTATGGAAACTATTTGGAGAACAGAACCTGGACGTCTCTTGTCATTGCAAACTTTTAAAGGACTATTATCTTTTCTTTCTCACACGTGCCTCTAAGCAGGCACTGTCCTTTTGCAATCTGTCCATCAAAGAAGGGAACTAGATTCTTTTTAGAAATGGTTTAAACTTGTTTCTCCTCCCTCTTCCTTCCTCCTTGCTTCCTCTCCTCCCTCCCTCCCTTCCTTTTTCCATAGACATACACACACACACATCCATCCATCCATCCATCCGTCCATCCACCCATTTGAGTTATTCTTCCCTGGTCTTTCCATCTCTCTCTCTCTCTTAACCTTTCTGTACTTCCAGTCCCCTTGGCCCCAGAATATTATGGGTGCTAATTTGATTGACCTAATGTGCTATAACTCCATGACACATCATCATGGATGTAAGAGAACGTGGAAATGAATGCCTGTGCCATACACAGTAGCTGTATCTCAGGTACTTTTTAGTAGATTGTTGCCTATATTAATAGAGTTTTATATTTTCAGATGGAGGCACAAAGCTGTCCCCTACACAGTCAGGCAAAGGTCTCAATCTGTGCTTTACTATAGTGGAAGGGCCCAGCTCCAATTTCCACACAGTTGCTCTTGTGCCTCAGGTATTATGACATTGTTCCTTGACCAAAAAGGATTTGCATTTCAACAACATTAGAATAGACAGGGGTCTAACTTCTGTCCTCCTCAGGCTGAGCCTGCTCTGCATTTGAAAATGCCAGTTGATCTTGCAAACACACTGGATGGGACAAATCCTTGGTGTAATTCATCCGCATCTTTTAAATGTTTATGCTTTATTTAATTTTTACACACAATATCATCAAGCAGCACATCTAAGTATAAGGTTAATTAGAACAATGATGATCCAGGGTCATCAGTGAGGTTGTCTTCACTGACTCACGAAACGTTACTTTTTTAATGGGATGCGTCCATCATCCATATTTCTCATCTTGGCCGTGTTTTAATAGGATCTGAGGCTTGGTTTCTTTCTTTTTTTGGTGGGGGGGGGACGGTCTTGCTCTGTCGCCCAGGCTGGAGTGCAGTGACGCAATCTCGGCTCACTGCAAGCTCCGCCTCCCGGGTTCACGCCATTCTCCTGCCTCAGCCTCCCGAGTAGCTGGGACTACAGGCGCCCGCCACCTTGCCCGGCTAGTTTTTTGTATTTTTTAGTAGAGACAGGGTTTCACCGTGTTAGCCAGGATGGTCTCGATCTCCTGACCTCATGATCCACCCGCCTCGGCCTCCCAAAGTGCTGAGATTACAGGCATGAGCCACTGCTTCTGACCCCGGCTTGTTTTCTAATATGTCCCTAGTAGGTTGATTTAACTGTCATGGAGCTAATAAGTGATTAAGGAAACAAGAGACAGGAAGGCATTCCTTATTCAAGGATAGGAAAAGCATGCAATATGAAAGTCACACACGTCAGTGGACAGAGACTCAAACAGACACAGCTGTTCTCAAATCATGGGTGTTACGTCATGCATACCTAGTAAAATGACAGCCTATGTGCTATGGTGCTAAGTGTAAAATAGGCTGGAGGTACAGGAGCCTGCTTCCTTAAAAGAAATCTAGTCAACCAGACACCAGCTAAAAGAGACGAAAATATGAGCTAAAGGGGCTTCGTCTCCCGTATCTTGTAATTTAAACTTCAGTAGGGGAATGAACAGATTGTGGAGGAGACTTACGCTGTGTGGGTGCTGCACAGTCCTTGTAATAGTAGCATTTCCACGTTGTGAAAAATAGAGATGATAACAGCGGAGTATCCTGCTCTCCCTTTAATAAAATTCCCCCTGTTGCTACGGGTAGGCATTTAAGTAGGTTAATGGGACACATTTAAAAGAAAAATTGTCATGGAAGCAGGGGGCATTCTCTTCTTAGAAGCAGAGGAAGGGGGGTGGTGGCACAAACAATCAGTCCTAAAGAATGAGCGCTGTTTCAGGGGAGACAGAGAGTTGGATAAAAATCCAAAAGGTGTTTCTCACTGTTAGAAAGCTAAAATCAAAATGCAGAAAATGAAGTGGACAGCACTAACTTTAGTATCTATGGAGAGATGCCTCCCTACTGAAACATAGGCTCTTACTTTTGGTTGAGCTCTAGTGAAACACCAAGGCCTGCAGAGGTTGCCCTTGCAGGCACCCCTTTGTCCCTCGGGGGGTGACTGAGGAGGAAGGGCAGGATCCAGCATCTGAGAGCTCCATGCTTTTGGGGTCACCAGTCCATGTGCGTTAGTAATGGGCCCTACCAGTCTCCCTGCTCTGGAGCCTCTGGGTCAGAAGAAGCAGAGAGGAGAGAAGAGTCCGGACCCTCCCAGGTGCTTGTGTTTCATCAGCGTTAGATGAGCCGGAAAAGGTGCTCACCGATGAACCGTCCTGAATTTTACAAGCACGTCTTACCTGTGTTTTCACTGATGATCGGTGCCCTCGGGTAGAGAAAGTTCAGGGAAGAAACACGATTTTTTTTAAAGAAAGAAACTCGATTTCACATGTTGATTTGAGGGGTCTTGCATCAATCACAGCTTGTGGCACCGCCTTGAGCCAGAGCCACACTTTCCAGCCCAGTCTGCCTGCTCCCGCTCCTCCTGCCTGCTCATCTGCTTTCTCAGAACCCCCCAGTCATTTAGCAGGAGCAGGGGAGAGAGTCAGGGGAGAGAGGCAGCGGAGACAGGACCAGAGGGTGATGACAGCCGTGTGGACTCAGTAATAAATGTTTACCTGGAAGCTGCAGATTCTAAAATCGATACTTTACAAACACGTGCGATTACACCAGTTTTTCACACATGTATGCAAGGTGAGCGAAGGTGCTAAGGGATGATGTGTTCCAAATTATGTCCTGTCCAAAGATGAAAGAAGGAAAGAAAGGAAGAAAGGAAAGGAGGGAGGCTGAGATGGAAGGGAGGGAGGAGGGGCTTATGACTGATGTTATTGACCATATGCTCTTACAGTTATTCTCAATGTTTGTAATGATTTTACCCCTGGCCGTCACATCAACTTTGCATAAAAAGTACACAAAAAATACTTCAGGGTGAATTGTAGTATTCATTTGAAGTGTTTTGTAGTAGTCGTTCATTCATTCAACATATTTTAATTTTTTAAAAATAATTTTTTTTTTTTTTTTTTTTTGAGACGGAGTCTCGCTCTGTCGCCCAGACTGGAGTGCAGTGGCGCGATCTCGGCTCACTGCAAGCTCCGCCTCCCGGGTTCACGCCATTCTCCTGCCTCAGCCTCCGGAGTAGCTGGGACTACAGGCGCCCACAACCGCGCCCGGCTAATTTTTTGTATTTTTAGTAGAGACGGGGTTTCACCGTGGTCTCGATCTCCTGACCTTATGATCCGCCCGCCTCGGCCTCCCAAAGTGCTGGGATTACAGGCGTGAGCCACCGCGCCCGGCCAAAATAATTTTTAATTCAATCATTTAATTTTTTAACAGACAGGGTCTCACTCTATCTCCCAGGCTGGAGTACAGTGAAATGATCATAGCTTACTGCAACCTCAAACTCCTAGGCTCAATGGATCCTGCCACCTCAGCCTCCTGAGTAGCTGGGACTACAGGCTTGTGCCACTGTGCCTGGCTAATTTTCCTTTTTTTTTTTTTTTTTTTTTTTTTAAGAGATGGGATCTTGCTATGTTGACCACGCTGGTCTCAAACTCCTGGGTTCAAACAATCTTCCTGCCTCAGCCCCCAGGAAGTGCTGGGGTTAATGAGGTATGTAATATACTTTGGGTTCTGATCAGGATAGGCAGTGGGTCCAGGTGCTCTGCCCTGAGGACATGACCAGTCAACTGAGGCCCAGATGAGGAGCCAGACGAAGCCACAGGACGGCAGGAGGCTGGAGAGGAGAGAGCTCAGGCGGAGGAAACAGCATGTCGAGTGAACCACATCAAGAAGCGTCAGAGACTTTCCTCTTAGAACTTGGGTTTTCTTTGGTTTCTGACCTGCCATCAAAAGGCTGCACTTCACGTGGTGCTGGCACTATTTGTAGTGTGTTTGGAGAAAATAAGTGCCCGTGGAGCCAGGCAGTGTTCGGTGATGACTCGTAAAGCTCACTCTGTAAATTCAGCGGAGTGTTTAACTCAGGGACACTTTCTTGCTTTTCATTAGTGACTCCATTGAGCTTTCTGAGAAACAGAAAGAGGAAAATAAAGGCACACAGATGTTTATTTCTGAAAATAAGATACAGCATTTGTACCCCAAGTCAGTGCTCCACAAGCTAAATATTTCAGGGATTGCATTATTTCACTTTAATGTAGAATTTTTTTTTTCCTGAAAATATTTTAGTTTCCCAAAGAAAGTATAGAGCTTTGTCAAGATGTTTAAATTAGCAATTAAATAATCAGTTAAAATAACATGCCATCCCTTAAGTCGAGTACATTTCTGCCATTATTTAATTTTTTGAGGTTTCTACATTGAAAGCAGTAGTTACTGCCTTACAATTCAGTGTTTAGAAGTCAGCGATAATTCCAAGTTTCTGACTAGGCCGGTGTCCTAGGCTCTTCCAGCCAATCTGGAGTGTGGCTTATGAAGCCTAATAATTCTCTAGACTTTTCATTAAATAATGTGAACACACTTACCTGTGGAGTATAAGCTTTGCTACATTGGATATGGAAAGACGAAGATTTCAGATGGGCTTGGTTCTAGGACCGCGGGATGGCAGCCACGCTTTGGACTGTGTGGAAGTTCTTTCCATGTAGTTTACACAGCTGGTAGAGCTTATTCAGCTGTCCCACTTACACAGTACCCACAGCGGCTTCCTCGGTCTCTTCCTTGGCCTCTATGGAAATGCACCCATACAGGGGGAAGGTCAGCTTCACAGTGAGTCTTTTTCATGCCCATCTTTTACCCCTCTGGAGGTCACACTGACCTTGAGGAACTGCAGTTCCCTGTTTCCACAGGTTTGTTTTCTTCCTTCGAGGCAGCAGCACCCTCTGCCCTGCCTGCCCCAGGCACATCAAAGACGATGGAGTTGTGTACACAGCAGTCTTGGGGTGACTGTGGCTGGTATTAAACTAGGAGACGGATTTGAATCTCATCTCCTCTTCTTGTTAAATATGAGTCTTTGGGCAAATCACGTAACAATTTCCGGATCTGTAAACTGAGGATGGTACTAGTTCCGGTGTTGTGCTGCAGCCTGACGTGCATGCCTCTCTCCGGACTTTGAGTTCAGTGAGTCCTGGGGGAGCCTGAGATCCTCCATGGTGGGAGTGTTGACACCACCAGTCAATACTACAAAGCAGGTGCCAGGTGGAGGGTCTGGGTGGGCGGGGCAAGAGGTCAGGGCCATTTGTACCTTTATCAGCACCCTGCTGAGTAGTTCATACCTCATAGGGTCTTGGGGAGATAATTAAGGAGATACCATGTGCTTAACATGGGGGAAAGTCCACAGTAAGGGCTCACTTCCTTTATTATTCTCCTCTTTCATTTCCTCTTTTATTCCAACAGGAGTCTTCATGAGGCTTTCCAAACTTTTGACCATGCTTTGATGCCTTGGTTGTTTGAAGGCATCTGTTACTTTAATGTAATTTTAACACTGGAGGACAGCGTGTAGATCACCTAGACAAGTTACTGATTTTCTGAAGAAGAAATTGTAGCGCAGAGAGGTTGAGTAATTAATACAAGCTTGCACAGCTATTCTTAGGTCAAGAAGAGGTGGTCAGTCTGAGTTAAAGCACACGACTCCCAGTTCAGCAATGTCTTCACACACCACCCACCAATCCTGCTGTAATTACTTAGTTGCACAAAAAATCACAATATTTACAGAAATATAAATAAGTGAAAAAAGTTACCAATTTACTCCCCAATATAAAATGTTTTACCTGCGATCTATGTATACATATTTAATGATGTGTAACAATATCATAATTTTTATGTTCTGCATTTTTTTACTTATATATCTTTATTTAAACGGACTTAACTTTATTAATGGAGTAATTTTTAGCTTTCAGAAGGAGTTCTCACTCGAAGATAAAGAACAGCTCGCTAACCACAAAAGAGGAACTGATGCTAAGCTTTTAGTTGCACTTCCTAAAGGTAAGGCTGTTCCTAAGTGACCAACCACGTCTGGGTAGATGCGTATTGTGTTGTCTGAATTTCCTTGAGCGGAACTCTCTCCCTAACCTCCAGCTTACAGTCTCCTTTGCGGCCCTTCCTGCCTCCTCCAAGAATTAGCTTCAATTCCCTGCCGTCTCCATGCATTTTTAATCCTCACCTTTCTACTCTTTCTTGCCCTTTAATTTTAGGCATCCTCAGGTTTTCTTTTTTTTTTTTTTTTTTTGAGACAAGAGTCTGGCTGTCTCCCAGGCTGGAGTGCAGAGGTGTGATCTCGGCTCACTGCAAGCTCCGCCTCCCGGGTTCACGCCATTCTCCTGCCTCAGCCTCCCGTGTAGCTGGGACTACAGGCAACCGCCACCATGCCCAGCTAATTTTTTGTATTTTTAGTAGAGACGGGGTTTCACCATGTTAGCCAGGATGGTCTCGATCTCCTGACCTCGTGATCTGCCCGCCTCGGCCTCCCAAAATGCTGGGATTACAGACGTGAGCCACCGTGCCCGGCCAGGGGTTTTGCATTTAACATCTTGTAGCTTCCCTGCTGGGCTGCGAACAGCCCGTTCAGACTATATCATGACCATCTTTCTTCTTCCCCAGGCAGGCACTCACACGTGTTTGGTGAATTACTATTTCCACTGGTCAAGGCGCACATGCAGTAAAATGTCTGCACCACTATAAACCAATTCCCCCTAGTTTTTCCCTGTGAAATGATGGAAACATCGCCTGGTCTTTGTAACTGTAACACCAGCACAGGGAATGATCATTGGTCCAGGCTCACTTCATCCTGACTGAGCTGTGGAGACCTTCCAAGGGAAGAAACAGATTTGATGGAAGGACAGATTTTTTCTACTCTGAAAGAAAAAGCAAAAATCATGTCCCAAAGAAATTAGACCAAACAACATATTCTTTTAATAGAAAGTAAATCCAGTAAAAAAGGCCCGCTGCTGAATTGGAATATATCTGAGGAATTGAACGGATGATGGGCCAAGGCATAGTCTGATGAGGGTGGATGTCTGAAAGACTCCGGGGATTTGGCCTGGTGAGGAAAACCCAGACAGGGACATGTGGCAATTCTCAAGAACTGACAACACTGTCAGCTGGAATATAGCTTTATTCTATGTCGCTCCAGAGGCAAAAGTAAGAATAATGTATAGAATTACAAGAAGGCAGATGAGATTTCGTTTCAAAAAGAAAATTAATCGTTCATGCTACCTGGAAATGAGGTGATCCACACTGTGCTCGCATCAGAGTTTTCAAGGCAAGCCAGTGGCCTCGTGTCCAGGTAGGACGGGTGCAGGTGGGGCATAGAACGGCTGTCAAATGGAATGACTCTGCCAATGTTTAGGACTCTCTGTGAAAGACAAAAAACCAGTTTCATCTGAGCCAAACTAAAGTGCTTAAAACCTATGCAGATGATCAAAACAAAGTATAAGAATGAACAAACCGATATCAGCAATAGCTGAGAATAGTTGATTAGGTGAAGTTCTACATAGCAGAGGTTTTTTCCACCAGTCGGAAGCGTCCCTCTTTCCCCTTCTCTGTCCCAGTTCTTTCATTTGATGCATAATACCACAGACAATATTATGAGCAGAAAAATCAAAAGCATATGAAATGTTAGGTTCCTTAAGGTTCAACAAATGGTAACTTCATCTGTAATAAACTTTTAGAACACCTAAGCTTATTAGCCAGTTGTATTAAAAATTTTCTCATAAATGGTTATAAAAAATAATTTTTACAAATCAAAGATGATGATTTCGTGTATTCACCAGATTGATGTTTCTAAAGTAACATGGTCCCTTAAATCCTTAAAACATGCTTTAAAAGTGCCAGTGCACCCGCCGGGCAAGGCGGCTCACATCTGTAATCCCAGCACTTTGGGAGGCCGAGGCGGGCGGATCATGAGGTCAGGAGATCGAGACCATCCCGGCTAACATGGTGAAACCCTGTCTCTACTAAAAATACAAAAAATTAGCTGGGCAAGAAGTCCCAGCTACTCAGGAGGCTGAGGCAGGAGAATCGTTTGAAACCTGGAGGCGGAGATGGCAGTGAGCCAAGATCATGCCACTGCACTCCGGCCAGGGCAACAGAGCAAGACTCTGTCTCAAAAAAAAAAAAAAGTGCCAGTGCCCCATGTCCCCTGAATTTCACCTAAATTCTCTACAGTCTTATTTCGTATATCTTTGCTTTTTATGAGAAAAAATAGGAAGATTTGGAAAGACCAGCAATTTCGTTGTTTCTCTGATTTAACACATGTATTAATGATTTTATGTGTCAGCCCTTAGCAATATTATGTTAAAAAGGGATTTGGTTATAATTTTATTTGAATGACATCAAGTTTTATGTGTGATAAGTTTATAGAAGTCTCTTTCTATTCATTTCCTGTGAAACTGGGCATTAAAGTGGTTGTTACTTCTTCTCTACAGGACTTCCTCTAAGTGTGTATCGCAAACAAGTAATCAAGGGATTAAAAATCTTTACCTATGTAACTTTTATAATATTAAAAAAATACTTTTTGTTTAAGAATTATGAAGTGGACCAAATATATTACTCCACTTTCTTTAGCAGCTTTATTAAGATGCAGCACACGTACCATGCAATCCTATCCTTTGAAGTATGCCATTCGGTCGGTTTTAGCAATTCACAGAGTTCTGCCTCCATCGGCACAGCCAGTTTTAGAACATTTTCATGGCTCCGAAAAGAAACGCTTTAGCCGTCACCCCTCCGCTTATTCCTCTAGTTTGTAATTGCTTGGTTTATGAGCTGCTTGTCTTTATATTAGTGGCTGCCATCCAAGAGTAAAAGTGAAAGGGCTTTACTCCTGTGGGAAGTAAGATCAGAATATTCCGGATCTGGCCGGGGCTCTTGGGCTGTCGCGTGAAGGAGGAGAGAAGCATTCTTGGCAGTACCCCGCCACATATATTTCTTTGGAAGGTTCTACTGTGCTCACGTTTGGAGGACTGAACTCAACAATGTCTTAACCAGAAACCGTCTGTTTCTTAGAGCTAAGGGAATAAACTGTTTCCTAAGAAAAGCACCCTGCAGACCAAATTGTCCAGAATATTGGTGTTATATAGTCTTATTGCAAAGCATAGTAGGTGGTTGTAAATAACTTATGAAGTATTACAGCTCTGCTGTCAAATTTCCTTAAATCGCCTTACTTGAAAACTAACCTCCAGCTCCCATTAGAAATAACTAAAGAAATAGACTCATAGAGTCCATATTGCCACAGTGGTACCACTCCGAATCACTCAGAGAAGAGTAACAGACCACGAAACAGGTAAAACAAGGGACATATGGATATGTTTAGAAGTCCTAATGTATTTGAAAGCAAAGTAGAAAATGTCTTATTATAATGGAAATTAGACCATCGATGCTTATTTATATCTGGATTGCATAATAACTACCATTACTAAACATGAACCATATATGAATTATAATTATGACACAGCATATAATCAATTGAATTATAGCTGGTGAACCTAATTTTAAAGAGCATTCTTATTCTTTTTTGTTAAGAAATGCACACTGAAGAATTTAGAGATAAAGGGGCCTCATGCTGCAATTGACTCAGATGGTTCAGAAAAAAATATTATATATGTATGTACACAGACATATATGCACATATAAATATACTTAAGAGAGAGAAAAAAAGAATAAAAATAAACCCAATGTAGTAAAATGTTAACGTATTGTGAAGGATATCGCTTACATATTCTGTACGTCTGATATTACGAAAAATGTTTTTGAAGTTTTAAAAGAACAGAAACCTTCAAGATTATCAATCAGAAGGTAACTTTGGTAGAACTGTAGGTAGGCTTTATAAATAAAACAACAGAGTTACAACACAGATTTCCACAGCAATGGTGACTTTCATGCATGATGTTTTTAGTACTGGCTTTATGCTAATAATAGTACAAAAACATGTTTTATATGATTAATAATAATATAAAATAATAGAAAACTTGGTTTATATAATAATATAACACATATAAATCATATTTTATATATATATGTATATTTTTTTTTCGAGGCAGAATCATGCTCTGTCACTCAGGCTGGAGTGCAGTGGCACAATCTTGACTCACTGCAACCTCCGTCTCCCGGGTTCAAGCAATTCTCCTGCTTCAGCCTCCTGAGTAGCCGGGATTACAGACACATGCTACCAGGCCTAGCTAATTTTTTGTAAATTTAGTAGAGACAGGGTTTCATCATGTTAGTCAGGCTAGTCTCAAACGCCTGACCTCAAGTGATCCGCCCACCTCAGCTTCCTAAAGTGCTGGGATTACAGGCACAATCCACCATGCCTGGCTATTATTATTAATAATAATATAAAACAGATATGTAATATAATACACATTAGTTACACACTAATTATATTACATGTTAGTATAGATTTGGGGAAAAGAGGCAAAACTCGAAATGTCTCTCTGTTACTTCTTTTTGTCTTGTACCTCATTTCTTATAATCCGTTTCTTAGGAATGAGGCATATGTTGGTAATTAAAAATATATTTGCTAGAAAGAATAGACTGAGAGGACATCATTTGTTTTCTAGAGAGACTTTTTTATTTTCCTTTAAAAATTCACTATAGATTTCCACTAAGAATTAATAAGCTCACTAATACATTTAAAGGACAATTTAATTTATGAGCTCATTTAATTCCTCGGTGAATGATCAGAGAGGACCGTAAGGTGTCCCTTCAAGTACCCACTATGTTGATGGATTCTAGCTTCCAGGAGCAATAGACTTGGCATAGCTTTGCGTTGAATCTGGGCTTGACTGAGAAGAGTGCAGTGCTGGGCTAGTGGCGGCTGTGCTGTGTAACTAGGGCCTAGGTGTCTAAGGCACAGGCTGTGTATTTGAAATTCTAATACTGGGGAATCAGTGATTCTCAATGGTTCTCAATCTAAGGCAGTCCCTAAGGGGCTTTAGAAATATATGAGGATATTTTTGTGTCGCAGCAACTGGGGGTGATTTGGCATCACTAGGAGAACCTGGGACATTCAACATCCTGTGGTACAGAGCTCACAGCAAGGCCACTTGCCACTCAGAAGCCATTAGCACTCCCATAGTGATCTGGGAGCTCTCCAGAGCCAGCCTCCTGAGCCCATGACCCCGATGAGGTCCATCTGTGTGTCTGCTAGATCCTGTCCTGAGAATGTCTTGTCTTATGCCCGGAAGTGGATGGCTATCATGGGGCAGTGTTCCCTGGAAGGGCAGTGGGAAAGTCTGCCTTTCCTGTGGGCGGGAGGCTTGCACAGTCTCCCAACTAGATCTTTCCTTCTGGAATACGGGAAATCGAGAATTGCAGGAAGCAACATGTTGCTTTGCTTTTCCATGCACTGTTGTAATCTTTTTTAAAAGTGCCTTTAGTTGCATTGCTATAGAAAAATTGTTAAATTAACTAAAACTTGGATGAAATGAAAGTGATTTTCAACAGTCTCTAATTAGAACTAAGAAAAGTCTATCTTAACTTTTTCCAGTGGAAGTTACATGATACTCTGCGTATTAACGGTTTTGATGACTTATCCAGTTGAAATAACGTGGAGTGAGAAAAGGGACATTTTAGGCCAGGTGCGGTGGCTCATGCCTGCAATCCCAGCACTTTGGGAGGCCGAGGCGGGCAGATCCCTTGAGCCTAAGAGTTCAAAACCATCCTGGATGACATAGCGAAACTCCATCTCCACAAAAAACAACCAAAAGCTAGCCAGGCGTGGTGGCACGTGCCTGTCATCTCACCTACTTGCGAGGCTGAGTTGAGATCACTTGAGTCTGGGAAGTTGAGGCTACAGTGAGTTGAGATCATGTCTCTACACTCCAGCCTGAGTGACAGAATGAGACCCTGTCTCAAAAAGAAAGGGGGGGGGGAGCAAAGAAAAGAAAGGGCAGGAGAAGGGAGGGGAGAGGAGGGAATGTGATTATGCTACTCAGGACCCTAATAATATTTTCTATTTCTCAGTTGGGGTTTGAAGCATGGGTTCAAGTCGTACCTTTTAGGCACCCTTGGAATTTGGTTTCGATAGCTCCTTGAGTGGTCTTTTGAAAAACAGGGCTCCACTCTTCTCTTTGGGGTTTAAATAATTAAATAAAACCCTTTGGTTTTTGTCATCCTTGAAAATATTTTGAAAATATGTCCTATCAGCCATTAAAGTTTTATCACTATAATCTCACTAGGGCTAATTTGTTGACAGGGAAGCTGTTGTTATTGACCAAGCCTCCTCTCCCAAGGCCGCATGGCAGGAGTGCACCATTCTCACTATACCCCTGTCTTCTAAATAGCAACATAATTAGAAGGAGGACTTCTCTGCCTCCAGCTACGCTGATTCCTGGGGAGGCCAACTGGGAGACCTTTTGAAGTCAGAGGGAGAGAGGTTTTGTTTCTACGAAGCCAGCTACCCTAACAAAAGCCAATTCAACTGAAGTTTTAAGATGGCTATCACTTAAAAATAAATGAAGAAAAACAAGGCTTCAATCCCTGAACACAAAGGGCAATATAAAACTGTGTGTGTATGTGTGCGCGTGTGTGTGTGTGTAGTTTTGACTCATTACTAAAAATTACCACTTAGAGAAAAGAAAAAGGAAATTGAAGCAGTCGAAAACCAAATTCCTTTGAGTTTCTCCTGTGACTCAGCCTTTCAAAACTTCTCATTGGCCCTGGCCCCGGGCTGTCCGGCCACCCCTCTCTCTTTCTCCCACCCCATTCTGAGTCTTTCATAGGAGTCACTCAGATGTACCCTTATTAATTTAAGCTATTGAGGAGGAGGCAAAAAGAGAGGCCTTTATTCTCCATGAACTTTGGCCATTTATCCAAAGAAACAGTTGTCTGGCATCTCAGTAATATGCTGGTAGTCAGTGTCATGTGAGAACCTCCCATCCTCAGCACATCGTTTGTTCTGTTTCTCCAATGCTGCCAGAAACATTGGGGTCATTACCTTGCCCATCATCCACCTAAATTATAGCAAGGAAACCACTGTTAACATTTCCTTCCAGCAAAAGCCTGTGCAGGGAGGCGGAGGACCTGTGTTCATCTAAACTGTAGCTAATTGAAGCGGCCACTTTAGGCACTGTGGGAAACAATCAGATAGTTACAGCCATTGACAGATTCCATGAGAGGGAGGAGGAGGAGCCGCTGTGAGTTCATGCTTGTAGCTTGCCGATGGCCCTGTGGGGTTCACACTCCTAGTCTATGCTTCTGTAAATGATTTCCGTAGTAAAAGCTTAGAATACTTTGTTAAATCAAACAAAAGTTAGTAACAGTTATTGAGATTTCTCCCTAAAATACTTTCCTAGAGAGACCTTGCTCGTCAGGTCTCCCTGGATTCCCCTAGATGAAATATAACCTTCTCCTTTACCCTGTATTTTACTTCTTAGCCAATCTATATATGTGACATTTACATGAGTCACCTATATAGGTGTTGCAATGTATATACAACAAAGCATTCTATTTAAATTATTTTAATGTACGTAATTTTAAATGGATTACATATTTATTTCATATTGTACAGTATGTTGACTGAGCATGACTTCACTTTGCCTTGATAACTCAGTCATTTTTATGAGCATCAAATATTCAACTTGACCTTAGAAGAGAATGATGCATCCTAGTGTGTGTGTGTGTGTGTGTGTGTGTGTGTGCACTCTTATTCATTTGGCCTCTGCCTCCCCTACTAGGAAACAGTCTCCAAGAAAGCAGGAACTTGGTCAGTTTTGCATGTCACTGTTACATAGGAACCAAGAACTGAAATTTGCAGTTCAATAAAGATGTAGCATGAGTGAATAAAATGAGCACATGACTACTAATACTATATTTTGTTCTTTTTTGGTTTTCTTCTAGTTGCAGAATTAAGACAAATCTTTGAACCAAAGAAAAAAGAATTCTTAGAAATGAAAAGGTAAGATCTTTATAGTGGGAATTAGGAAATAGAAGAGAGCTTGGCAAAGCAGTATTCTGCTTTCCTTTAGACTCGATCGCTGTTGCTCACTCTGCCTCTTGTGGTGTATCTCACAGAAAAGAAAGAATTGCCAGGCGCCTGGAAGGGATTGAAAATGACACCCAGCCCATCCTCCTGCAGAGCTGCACAGGGTTGGTGACTCACCGCCTGCTGGAGGAAGACACCCCTCGATACATGCGAGCCAGCGACCCTGCCAGCCCCCACATCGGTGAGCGTGGAGCTGGGTGGCCCATTTTCCAGCAGGCTGCCTGGCTGGTTACACGTCGCCTTTTCCACCCAGTGGTATCAGAACATGAGATATTCCACAGAATTAAATTGTGTGGATATAACTTTTTTAACACAAGGTTTCACTCTGTCACACAGGCTGGAATGCAGGAGTATGATCATAGTTCGCTGCAGCCTTGACTCCTGGGCTCAAGCTCAAGGGTTCTCCCGCCCCAGCCTCCTGAGTTGCTGGGACTACAGGCTTGCACCACCACACCTGGCTAATTTTTTTAAAAAACATTTTTGTAGAGACAGAGTCTCACTATGTTGCCCAGGCTGGTCTCGAACTTCTGGCTTTTAGTGATCCTCCCACCTTGGCCTTCCAAAGTGCTGAAAATATAAGCGTGAGCAGTGGACTTGACCTACTTTTTTGTTAAGTGTATTTGGTTTTTGTTTATTTTTAGTTTTAGTTTTTTTAGAGACAGTGCAATGGTCTGATGAAAGCTCACTGAAGCGTCAACCTCCCAGGCTCAAGTGATCCTCCCGCCTCAGCCTCCTGAGTAGCTAGGACTACCAGCATGTGCCACCATGCCTGGCTATTAAGTATATTTGCTAAAAACAGCGACAGTAAAAACAGCATGTAATCTCTGCCCCGCCTCACGGACATGGCCTTCCAGTGTCACAGCAGTATGAAATGATTCCTCTCGGCACGTTATTGGGTAACTGAGGGCCAGTCATTCCTCCTCCCTAGACTGGGGCCCTCAACCCTCAAAGGCGGTTACTGTGTCTTTCTGCATCCTCAGGGCCCAGCACAGGATCCGTGCTCTGAGATAGGGGCCTCTCAAGGTTCCCACCCAGCACAGGGAGCAGCTGCTCTCAGCAGGGAGCCTTAGAGGCAAAGCAGCACCTTGAATGAGTACGGTTCTTACTCTGGAGATACAAGAAAACTTTCTATTTAAGTTATTTTAATGTAGGTAATTTTAACTACATTGCATGTTTATTTCATATTAAACAGTATGTTGAGGGCGCATGACTCAGCTTTTCCCTAATCACTCAGTCATTGTTGTCATCAAATATTCAACTTGACCTTAGGAGAGGAGGATGTACACAGGGCTGCTCTTCCCACCACAGTCCCTGGCTCTGAGGCGCTGTGCTGCTGTTTTGTATTTTTTAATGTTTTTTTATTGTATTTTATTTTTGGAGATGGAGTCTCTCTCTTGTCGCCCAGGCTGGAGTGCAATGGCGCGATCTTGGCTCACTGCAGCCTCCACCTGCCAGGTTTAAGCGATTCTCTTGCCTCAGCCTCCAGAGTAGCTGGGATTGCAGGCGCCTGCCACCATACTGGGCTAATTTTTTTGTATTTTTAGTAGAGATGAGGTTTCACCATGTTGGTCAGGCTGGTCTCGAACTCCTGACCTCAGGTGATCCCCCCGCCTCAGCCACCCAAAGTGTTGTGATTACAGGCGTGAGCCACCAAGCCCAGCCATGCTGCTGCTTTTTATAGCCGGTGTTTTCTAGTTTCTTGCTCAGAGAGAGCTGTTGATCTCATTTTATGATGTTATCAGGTTTGCTTGTCTCTACAGTTTCCAATTTCCTGTGGCCAGAAAGCTAGAAAACGAAGATATTTTAAAATCACGTGCAATTATTAAAAAAAAAAAAAAAAAGCTGGGCATGGTGGCTCACACCAGTAATTCCAGCACTTTGGGAGGCTGAGGCAGGAGAATAGCTTGAGCTCAGGAGTGCAAGATTAGCCTGGACACCACAGCCAGACTCCATCTCTTAAAAAGTAATTACACGCATGAGGCCAGGCGGGGCTAAGCGTAATCCAGACTTGGAGCCGAGGGGCGGTCCAGTAGGAGATCGGACCAAGCCCTCTCTACTTAGCCTGGCATGTACACCACAGCCCATGACTCCCATCTCTTAAAAAGTAATTACACGCATGAAATGTCAATACACGATCAGAGTCTCAAAATTTATAGCCAGAAATAAACCTTGGTGTATATGAAATGATAATCTGTGTAGTATATGATAGTTTAAGCTTCACATAGTAGTGAGAAAAGGAAGAATTATTTAATAAAATCATAATAAAAAAATGAGTTCGCCAGAGGGTGGGAAGAGGCATATCCCTCTTCTCACTTCATACCAAACTCCAAAATTCGTTCCAGTTACTCACCTGTTTAAAGAAAATAATGGAAAAGATACATGTATATTTAATTCAGGTGGAATGAAAAAGACCATATGGGAAGGGTTAAGGTAATAATGAAATGCCTGTTAGATAGACTGTTAGGACCCTTAAATGACGTCTTCAAAATAGATTTCCAAATATGGGAAATTTTTGTTTGTTTGTTTGTTTGTTTGTGACAGAGTCTCACTTTGTTGCCCAGACTGGAGTGCAGTGGCATGATCTCGGCACACTACAACCTCCGCCTGCCAGGTTCAAGCGATTCTCCTGCCTCAGCCTCCTGAGCAGCTGGGATTACAAGCGCACACCACTGCGCCTGGCTAATTTTTGTATTTTTAGTAGAGACAGCGTTTCACCATGTTGGTCAGGCTGGTCTCGAACTCCTGACCTCGTGATCTGCCTGCTTCGTGATCCGCCTGCCTCAGCCTCCCGAAGTGCTAGGATTACAGGTGTGAGCCAGCCGGGAAAACATTTTTATAGAATGTGCCAAGCGGGAAATCATTTTTATAGAATATTAATAACACTAAATAATTTATAAAGAAAAAATTCTATGAAAAACTAGAAGGAATATATAAAAATGTTATTAATTTGTAGGGTAATGATTGGTAGGTTTTTTGTGGGTTTTTTTTGAGACAAGGTCTTGCTCTCTTGCTCAGGTTAGAGTTCAGTGGCACGATTGATCATAGCTTACTGCACCCTTAAACTCCTGGGCTCAAGCTAACTGTCCACCTCAGCCTCCTGAGTAGCTGGCACCATGGACATGTGCCATCATGCCCAGCTAATTTTTAAAATAATTTTTGTAGAGGCAGGGTCTCACTATGTTACCCAGGCTGGTCTCGAACTCCTGGCCCCCAGCCACCCTCCCACCTCAGTTTCCCAAAGCGCTGGGATTACAGGTATAAGCCACTATGCCAGGCCCACATTGTATATTTCCTACATCAGGCATGTGTGTTATAATTGGGGAAAAAAACACTTCTGTAAAAAAGAAAAGCCTGGTGAATAGTGATATGGGCCATATAGTTATGGTTACTCTCAGATCCTGGGAAACCAGCATCCATCCCTTGTCCATTGGCAGCAGCTCAGTTGTCTGGTGTCTTTCCCAGAGGACTCTGAACCCATCCTATGGCCTTCCACGTGAAATACTGAACTCCACAAAAAAGAGTAAATCAGTAAGGGGAAATAAGCACTGAACGAGCACCGAACTCTGAGGTGCTCTCGGGAGTGAAGGGGCTGAGCTTAAGTTAAAGCCACGCCTTACGGGGCTTGTAGAACATGCACATTCACAGCCTTTGTAGATTTCACTGCAGATCTCAGACTTCTTCAGCAGTCCAGGTAAATAGTCACTTTAGGTGAACACACCTCAGTGAGAAACTGGTCCTTCACCGCATGGGCACCCGGGTGTGTGCTGTGTGCAGTAGAGAGTGTCACTCTATGTGTAAATACGTGTCTTTACTTGAAATCTGCACCTCTCATCCACGTGACCTTCTTGTAGGCCGATCAAATGAAGAGGAGGAAACTTCTGATTCTTCTCTAGAAAAGCAAACTCGATCCAAATACTGCACAGAAACCTCTGGCGTCCACGGTGACTCACCCTACGGTTCAGGTACCATGGACACCCACAGTCTGGAGTCCAAAGCCGAAAGAATTGCAAGGTACAAAGCAGAAAGAAGGCGACAGCTGGCAGAGAAATACGGGCTGACCCTGGATCCTGAGGCCGACTCTGAGTATTTATCCCGCTATACCAAGTCCAGGAAGGAGCCTGATGCTGTCGAAAAACGAGGAGGAAAAAGTGACAAACAGGAAGAGTCAAGCAGAGATGCGAGTTCTCCGTACCCCAAGGACTATGCCCTCCGTGGGGGTGATGGTGCTTCCGACACGGAGGTGCTGCTGAACGTAGAAAACCAAAGACGAGGTCAAGAGCTGAGTGCCACCCGGCAGGCCCATGACCTGTCCCCAGCAGCAGAGAGTTCCTCAACCTTCTCTTTGTCTGGGCGAGACTCCTCCTTCACCGAAGTGCCACGGTCCCCAAAGCACATGCACAGCTCCTCCCTGCAGCAGGCGGCCTCCCGCAGCCCCTCCTTCGGTGACCCACAGCTGTCCCCTGAGGCCCGACCCAGGTAAGCATCCAGCCCACGATAACCACCCTGAAGGCAGGAGAATACCTTCTTTTTGCCTCTCTGTGTGATAGGGTTTGGGTATTCTTAGCATCTTGTGGAGGTCGAGGCTCATTGGAGAAATATCATGGTATATGATTTTTTTTTTTTTTCCCAAAGACAGGGTCTCACTCCGTTGCCCAGGCTGGAGGGCAGTGACACGATCACAGCTTGCTGTAGCCTTGAACTCCTGGGCTCAAGCAATCCTCCTGCCTCAGCCTCACAAGTAGCTGGAATCACAGGCACATGCCACCATGTCTGGCTAATTTTTACTTTTTTTTTTTTTTTTTTTTTTTTTAGAGATAGGGTCTCACTATGTTGCCCAGGCTGACCACAAGAGATTCTCGTGTTCAACCTCCCAATGCGCTGGGATTACCGGCATTGGGAGGTCGAACAGGAGAGTCTCTTGTTTCACTAAAATGGACACGATACCGTACCTGCCCTAAGATTCTTACATTTTGGCCGTGTCAAAACAGGTTCTACCAAAGCAGGAAGCCTCGTGTTCTTTCTGTTTGTATGTTTCTTATGTTCTTTTTAAAAACAAATTGAACAAGTATCATGGGGACACTTTCATGGACTCCTCACTTCAGGACCCTCTTGCTGGATGTCTCACCCCCATTTCATAGTTTATCTTTTCACGGCTTTTCTGTAATCATATCAGAGACTGATGATTGTTGGTGATGGCTTCTGTTGCTGTGGTTAGAATCACAGAGCAGAAGAAGCACCACTAACCAGTGGAAGCATCTCAGCGCAGGGCACAGAAGTATCACTGCAATATACACGGAACAGAGCTAGACTGCCTCGTTCTGTAAATATATCACATACTAGGACACAGATATGTGTGAGAACCCTGCATTATAAAGATCAGCCATTAGAAAAACCACTGTGTAAAAGGATCCACTCAAGATAAGAGCAGCTCCCATTTGGAGAAATTGAAAACGGTATGAAATCAGAAAGTCAAATGACAGAAGAGAATATATGTTTACTTCCAAATTTAAATTTTAAAACCGTGATGACCATATTAAAAATGCAATTTACTTATCTGTCCTGCTTAAAGATTTGGGATAATTGTCTAGGTGGATCTTAACTGTATTTTTCAGTTCAAACAAGCAATAACTTCCCAGGCGAATTGAGAAGGGATGAGAACCTAAGGTCAGGGAGATTCATTCTGAAAGAAAAAGACTCATATGTGAGAAACACCCTTATTTGTTTCCCATTGGGACACAGGGGTGCACACCTGGTCATCTCTAAGTGGCAGGAACAAATGTGAAGCAGACCCTTGTGGTACTGAAATGTATTAACCCAAAGACCTGTCATTGCACACTCAAGGATCCAGACTGAAATATTTAGAGAGATCAGCTTCCAACAGAATTAAATACCATAGATCCCAAGGATCCATTCTGAGCACGCTTGTTCAGCCTTTCGCTTTAACTACTGGAAATGTAGGGACTGTGAGTACTGTCTCATATTTTGAAAAGAAGGTTTTTGTTTGAGAATTTGCATTTCATCATAGAAACCATGTTCTTGGTTTAGTTACTCTCTACCAAAGGAAGTTCTTCCTGTGTGTTGCAAGTAGGACAAAGAACCTAGCAGACTCCAATTTAAAAAGAATATTAGAGATATATAATTACACTGGTTTAAAAGAAATGAGGAATCTAATTTCAGATTGCCACATGATGGCAGCTGTTGAAGTCATTATCACGGTATGTGAGTTAGTCACCTAGATCACGTATGATAGATTCTCAGTAAGATTTTAAATCAGTTATAATAGTAATTAAGACTTTGTTGAGCATCCCAGATAAAAGGACAGGATACTTCATATTTCGTATGAGTTAAAATCTTAATATTAAAAAATGTATATAACTTGTCTTAAGACCTAGAAAAAAGCACTGTCGACATATTTAGGCCTGTAACAAAATAAAGCGACTTCTTTATAGGTTATTTTGAAGATGCATATTACCTAGAAGTTTTCATAAGCCAAGCCTTAGCTTCACAGCACTTTACTTTCATGAAAAAGACTTAAAAGAATTAAGAAATTGTAAGGACTTCTAGAAGAGGTGCATACCTTCTTTTCTAAGCCATTTAAGGTATACAATTCTATGATTCATAGGCAAAGAAACCCAAATTAGTTTGTGTATTTATTAGGAAAATACCTGGGATGTATTTACATAAAGAGGGTTGGAAAATGTGTGACAAATCTGACATTAAAAACAGTTAAGATTTACATTGTAATGACAGCAGTGATTCAGCTTGTAAAAATGGATTTACAAAGGATTAAAATTCTGCTTCGATTGTCTTTATCTAGAACCAGGAAATTCAAGTTTCAGAAAGTCATTTTCTGATTCCTGCTTAGGGGGAAGTAAGATGAACCAAAAAAAAAAAAAATACATTGTAACCCAAAACAGTAACAAAAGAAACCTCCTTGGTGACCTAAATAACTGTATGTGAAAATAATAATGTCATCTGACATGGAAACATGTCACCGAAAACTTTAAAATTAACAAGTGAAGAGAAAAAGTATCCATAAATAATGTTTAATGCTGTGGGTTTTTATGAATTTTTTCTGTTACTAAAATGGAGTATTTTTCTCACTGCTGCACTCTGCCATCATCTAGCTCTGCCAAACTTTGGCTGTTGCATCTCTGAATCAACTCCTTCCCATTTAATCATTTTGTTCTGTGCTTGCTAGCAAGAGGCTGTCTTATTTAAATATGAATACAATGACACTCATGAATATACCATCAAAAGACCACCTATAGTGTCCTAAACATTCAGATGTGAGTCCCATCTCCAAAGCTGTTTCTGAATGCGCTCATGTACACTAACACCTGTACACACCTGTGCATATATACAGAATAATCATTAATTCTCATACTTCACTATACTATACTCATTAAGCATTATAGGTAAAATAACAGTATTTAGGACAATATTTACCTGAGTAATACATTTATTTTATAATTCTTTAGTATTCAATTTATATGATAAAGAAGATTTTTTAAAAATTGGTTAATTGATTAGTTGATATTACAGATCTTTAACTCAGAAATTCTGTTAGATGCCTGGGAATTCAGATGGACACATTGCTCTGAAGAAAACTAAGAATACACATAGTAACGAAATAAGTGAAGTAGAAAATAATAAGATACTTCCAGCCCCACTCTCCAACTGTTACAAACCTGTAAACTTGGAATTTCAGAAATGGTATTATTTGCAGGAGAGGTAGTGTTACTGATTATGAACCATTCTTTGTTAATTCCACCACTGTGAATTTTAGAATAAAATTAAAAGGAATTTAGGTCCTATGGATTATTCAGATTTTTAAACATCTGAGCTTGAGCTTCTGCTACTACTAGAAATTCCGAATCCAAAGCTCTTGTTGAATTTGTTACTTTATGCATCTCATGTATCTATGTAAAGGAAATGTGCTGTGTTTGTTACTTTTATGAGTGGAGAAACTCACTGTCTTCAGTCCTGCTGCTACCTTTGCTAAGCATCCATATGTCACTCTTTGCTCTCAGGGAACTATGTGACTGGCAAAGAGAGTGAAATGGAAGGTAGACCTCATTTATTTTCTTTCTTTCTTTCTCCTTCCTTCCTTCCTTTCTTTCTCTTTCTTTCTTTCTTTCTTTCTTTCTTTCTTTCTTTCTTTCTTTCTTTCTTTTTCTTTCTTTCTTTCTCCCTCTTCTCTCTCTCTCTCTCTCTCTCTCTCTCTCTCCTCTCTCTCTCTCTCTCTCTCCCCCCCCCCTTTCTCTCTCTCTCTCTTTCTGTCTCTCTTTCTTTCTTTTTTTTGATGGAGTCTCACTCTGACACCAGGCTGGAGTGCAGTGGTGCAATCTTGGCTCACTGCAACCTCCAACTCCTGGGTTCAAGCAATTCTCCTGCCTCAGCCTCCCGAGTAGCTGGGATTACAGGCATGTGCCACCACGCCCAGCTCATTTGTGCAATTTTAATAGAGATGGGATTTCACCATGTTGGCCAGGATGGTCTCGATCCCTTGACCTCAAGTGATCCACCTGCCTTGGCCTCCCAAAATGCTGGGATTACAGGCGTGAGCCATGGCGCCCTGCCGGTAGACCTCATTTTCTAGTGGTGATCCCCTCTAGAAAACCCTCGTTCGTTAGTTTTGTTTGTCATTACTGTACTGCAGCCCCTCACCACTCCTTTCTCCTTAGCAAATTGTGTCCTTAGTAGTCAGAACACGATATGGAGTTTTCATGCAGAGCTGAGGCTGACATTGGACCCCTGGGAGAGTTGCCATTGGTGGATGACAGTCTGGGCAGGGCTCCCATGGATGCCAGAGAGCTCTGGATCAGCTCAGGAAATAGATCAGGGCACCCTCTGGAATGCAGCTTCTGCAACACCTTGACACGGTGCAGCCTGAGTCACTAAGAAAGGAAGGGGCTTGTGCTAGGCACTTGGAGTTTATTTCTGGTTGCATTTGCTCATCTCCCGATGAGAGGTTTTAGTCTAAAAACTGACTCCAGAGCCTCAAGCTCTCTTGGCTCAGTGTTCTGTTTCCATGCACTGAGAGAGGTGTCTGCAGGAGAGCATCGTGCTTGACCTTCCACGCTCCCGTGTCCACTAGCAGGCAGGTTTTCTGACACGGGCTGCGGGATTCAGGACAGCGCATCACGGAGAAACATATATCTTGGGAGCCACTCTCTAAAGAACAGACCTCTAGGTCCTCCTAACAGCTTGTTCTATTACTGGAATGGAATTGGCTTCACCTTTTAGTCCCTGTACCCCCAAACACCTGTGCTCCCTGCCATACTCTAGAATCCCAGCTGTTAAAATAGATGAGTAAGTCATTCCCTCTTTTTTTTCATTTCATCCTGTTCTTATTGGCAAGTGACAATTCTTATTATCTTTTTTTTTTTTTTTTTTTTTTTTTTTTTTTTTTTTTTTTTTTTTTTTTTTTTTTGTGAGAAAAGGTCTTGCTCTGTTGCCCAGGCTGGAGGGCA